GCAGGAATAGTTTATTTATCCCTCAACCACTATTTGGAAGATAGGCCTTTGACAGTTTTATGTTGATAACATTCATCTTTGAAGTGTACAAACTATTCAGAGCACATCTGTAAAACATCAGAAGTTATATCCCACTTAGCTTGTCGCTTCAGATTGTAATACAAGTTCACATTGCAAAGTAATGCCTAGTTTGGCCTGACGGCAATTATGGGGATATAATCTGATTTTAAGAAATCACACACTGAATCAACCTTAAAATGTTTCGATATTAAAGATCCTTCATTTGGACATTAATTTTCATTTTAAAGTGATTTTTTTGTGTGTGTGGCTGCTTGGTATGAATTCATTTAATAATGGAGCCTGCACAAAGGTATTTTTCAGACTGAGAATGCCATTTTCTGAGGTCTTAGTTAATACACTGGCGTGTTTTTATGAAGAAATTAGAAATTAATCAATGGCTAGTTAGTTGCTTCCACTGAAATTTGTCTCCATTTGTACACAGTCCAACTCTAACATCTTACTTTTAATAAATCTAGTGCCTAAATGCCCTTTTTTAGGAAGCACTTAGAATATAAATACCCAGGGTTTTCAAGCAGCATGTTTTAGAGCAAATAGCATGTTGTAACAAATTTATTTTGATGGGATTTGATAGCTGCTTTTACCATATATTTCAAGATTCGCACTTTAGTGCAATATCCTCTCTGAATTTTAACAGAATGCTATATGCTTTGCTTCTTTAGAGAGTGGAAACCTTCTGAGACTGAGCTAGATATTTAATTAGTAAGTATTCTAGCCTGGGCATGACTACTGTGTGCAAGCAGGATCTTTTTTTTTTTTTCAGAAAAATTAGTTTAAGTATTTTGTAAAAAAAAATAATAATTCGTTTACAGTGCCTTTTCTTTCCAAGATGATTCATGCAGCTAATCTGTCCTTTACAACTTGAATTCAGATCAAGAAACAACATGGGTACAGCCAGAAGTAGCATTACATTAAGTAGCATACGGAGGCAGAGAGTAAAAAATTAAGACCTCGTACTCAAAACCCACCAAGCAAAAGGATCAGCTCACCTTTTTCCGATCTTCAGCACTCTAAGAACACGGTGGTGGCAGATAAGGTAGGGGTTTCCCAGCAGATACAACAGAGCTGCAGAGCTGAGCGAGCGGGAGGCAGAGAAAACTGACAATCTGCATGTGCTCTGGAATACAGCAACTTACTATCACTGTAACTTAAGGAAAGGGGAGGAGACTGTTTGTCCAACTCTGAAACAAATAAAGACACATCAGAAGAGAGGGGGAAGCTGAGCTTCTGGAATATTGATTAGTCTTGGCACAGTGAAAGCAGGGTCACTTTCTTTGTTTTTCCTTTTAGACCACTTTCACGCTTTGTCAGTTCAGCTTCGTTAGAAATGCAAAATCAGAACCCAGGCAGAATTGAAGGATCGTGCGCACACAGACACAGAGGAGGGGAGGCTGGAAGCGCTTCTTCATTAGATATTCCAGACTGGAAATCTGAAAAGCCTAAACATAATTATATAACACTTTTATAACACTGTGCTTTTTAAAATAAATGTTAAAATATGTGAGCATGCTAGTTTGTTCTAAAAAGGGACATGGTGTGAAGCCATCACATATTTTCTCATTCTTAAAGACAGTTATTCATGATCTGCTCTTCCCAGGGTGGGGAACCAGACATATCTTTCAGAAGCAACTGCAGCATTATCAAGAATAGAGAAAAACATAATCAGCTATAATTCTTTCTTGCAGATATTCAAAAACACGATGAGACTTGCCTCTTGTTTAGCAATTCAAACTCACTGGTACTAAGCCCCATTCAGCCTGTTTCAATAGCATGGAATGAATGATGAAGGGAAAAGCATAAAACATTTTAAGAAATAAGTGGCCTTCAGGTTTTTTGGCATTTAAAAGTTTGTACCAATGAAAAGATTTGCAGAGGAGAGTCAGAGGAATTCCCAAAGACCTTCTTTGACTTTTTAGAGGAAAACTCTGGTTTTAAATTGTTTGTAAATGTAGTTTGAAATAGTCAATACTTATATTTCAGTGCATCTTTCATGAGATTTTTAAGTGTCTTTTCTTATAAGAGGAACAGTGTAAATGGAAATTCATATAAATTTATGCTACACATATAATTTAAGAAGTTTGTTTATAGATTATGTGGCTTTTAATGTTTTTTTCCTGGAAAGCTTTTTTAAGTCTACAGAAATAATCTTATGTACTAGACACACAAAAAATAGTTAGGTACAAAATAAAATTAACAGCAGTGTTACCTCCACAAAGTCACAGTAATAGTTTTGCTAAAGTATTTTCTCACTGAAATGTGCTTCAAATAATGACGTGTAATGTAGAGAAAAATAATCTTGCAGTATAATGCCAATGTGCTCATGATTAGTGTTAGTTTGAGGTTGAACTGTGTACCGCAGGATTTTAGTTACCTAACTCAAGAAAGAAAGTGAGCGTCTAAATTAAATTATTACTTCACTTCAAAAAGCAAGAATAAATGTTGAGAGTTTGTGTTGCAGAGATAGAAACACATGCTTATACCTGGCAGCTTAAATGTCTATCTCATTCTTACTTTTCACTGTGCAGTTTTTAAATACTTTCACCCTTTTGCCTGCAAATGGGAACTGACCTCTTAGCTGACCTTTGGCCTTTAGTGATCTGGTTGTTTGATCTTTCTTTTTGGAGTATGGCATGCTTTCTGTGAAACCTCCCAGATAAGGACTTCATTCTGCCCTCTCTTCATATGAATAGTAATATTCCAGTTGCCTTAATGGAACGGGGGTTGGGCCCCAAACGAGGTGATCCAGAAGTATGTCATCATTTAATGCTTTCATTAATAATGGATTCCATGAGAAGCGAGGATAATCCTGTGAGAGAATGTGTTATGCAGTGAGACAAAATGAAAATAGGCAATATGTAGTCATACAGCTTAACTTCAGCAGTGATACTTTTATTAGCTCTCAGTGAGCAACAGACATTATTACACGGTCCATAGAAAAGCAGAAAATCAAGACCTTTTTGGAAACGTGTTCCTGTTCAAAATTTTCTTTCTGTCTTTTTTCTTCTCTCCTTTTCTGACATCCATTTCTTTTATTGATTTTAACTTTGATGGTGAAATAAGGAAACTATAATATATAAAGAGTATTATCCTTTATATTACAGTAAATATGTATATTAGATATCCCTGAATAGCAATAAATGAGTCACAGTTCATAGTGCAGTGTCATCCTGCAATACAGGAAATTACAATGAACTAGAACTTCCTTTTACATATACAATAGATTTAACAGATTTAGTATACAGTATCTAATACTAGGACAAATTTACAATATTACTGGTTAAGTGCTTCTATCTGTAATTTTCAGTAGCATTATCATTTTCTAGGAAAAGCAACTTAAAACATAAAAGTTGCTAGAAACACTGTAGACTTTAGATTGGATCAGCCAACACTAAGAATATACAAAAGCATCGGTATGTTTTATAGAGTAAGACAGAGCAGCAGCCATTGGTGTTACCACCAATTTTACACTGACAAAATATTTTCTACATGCTGCAGGGTTTTTCTGATAAAAATCGACAAGGAATGACCTAATGCCTTGATGAGCCTGTCTGTGTTGTCATATTAGCTCAGCACTCTAATTTGTGCTTTGGGGTTTCAGTTTCAGCCCTTCTTTGACAATGCACCAGGTGGTTTGCACAGCAGGGAGATGCAAATATAGGGTAAGGGCTGGTTTTGACTTGAACCTCGTCCTCACAGGCAGCATGGGTTCAGCCAGCTGAAATCACGTGTGGTGGTAAACTCAAGCCCTGTTTGCTCGTGGCTAACGAAATCAGCCAGTAGATGTACTTTGCATGTTGGCAAAGTAGCTGAGTGCCTTTGTAAAATAAGTAAAGGTATTAGAGTGGAAGCTGCTGTTCAAACATAAAGTGTTGTTACTTTCTGCTCACTAGTGCTATCAAACAAAAACTCAGGCAAGTCCGTTGTAGCACATGCAAGATGTGGAAAGGAAGCAACAAACTGTACAACCATTTTATTTCCCAGATAGTAATAAAGCTAGTATAAGAGTGCATGGATCTCAGCTGAAATTAGCTTTTTAACATTCAAAGTAACCCAGTCTTCACATTAATAAATTAGCATTATAAATTAATAATGGCTGAATCTTTGAAGTTTTGCAGTTTTAGGTAGAAGCTCAGTGAACTATTGTTGAAACCACAATGGCAAAACTGGAATAAAATTCTTGTGACTGGATATGTTTATTCATGGTAAATGGTATGTCGGTATGTCCCTAGTCTTCAATTAAGTTGGACAAAATAAGAATATATATGACTCCCT